GCTTTTCAAGATTTTAAAGTGACAAGAAAAAGAATAGAAAAATTATTATAATAGTTGTATATTTGACAAGAGAAACATAAAACAGACAGCGACATTGGAATTTCACTTTGTCCTTCTAATAGTTCTAGTGATTCAAGGTCATGTGGCTGTAGCAGTAATAAGATACCCTTTGCCACTTTGTGGTGATATGCTAGTTTACTTGGTTAATTGCTTTTAAGTAATTGATAGTGAATATATCAGTGATTCCATTTACTAGATATTAATAGTAATTAAGTTTCTTGAAAGTCACAAATATCTACATTTTGAAGATAAAGAACACAAACTCTGACCACCAATCGGAAGTATATTTAAGAATCTTTTTTGTATCATAACTATACATCAAAGCAGATAATCTCCCATTGTGATAAAAGATTTTTTTCCACATCCATGACCTGGTATATATCGAATGAGAATTCTAGGTATGTAAAAAATGCTTAGATGAAAAAGTCAGAAATATTGAGCCTTAGTTAATTATATGTATGCTAATAAGTGTCTGCAACTGATTTTCAAAGGCATCAGAAAATAAGGTGGATTGATACATGCATGGAGGAGTGGAAATGCGATGAAACAAATGTATTGAAAAAATATTAGAGTTTCGGTAGTTAGTATAAAGGGAGGACATTTTCACATTTTTTTAAAAGATGCAGCATTTCTCATGTGAAATTTTTCACATATAAAATTTGGGGTAAATGTTTAGATCTAAGTGGTTGTGAGACACTTTAGGGATAATATGGGAGTGACTTCACATATGCACACATATAGTATACCTTCTTGCTTTCGCATAAAATAAATTATTATAACTTATATGTTTATGTTAAGCAAACCTTGTGTGCATGTCATGTGTTTCTCAGCTGTTTGTTGTGTATTTCACAGATTTACTTCCACCAGGAATATTCTTAGGTTATAATAAATAGTATATATGAATTGAAACATTGACTTCAAGGAGCATCCTATCTTTTTCATTATACGGTGTGTAAATATGGAAAAGTCAGCCAAATAGCCGATAAGTTCATATGATCTATGTTCATACAGTAAAAAGATGGATTTGCTGATGGTCTATATACAACCCCTCATTCTTCTGGCATTTTTACCAGCTTGTAGAGAGTTAGGACTGTGCCTTGTGCTAACAAAGTGCTGAATAAATAAGGGGAGACTGCACAAAAAATACTCACTGATTTGAGAGTGGGCATTTCTTACGTGTCATTATTGTTTATTGTGAAATATATCATAGTACAAAATATATTAAAGTGTATTAAGTTTAAAGCATAATAATAAAGTGACTATTCATGTAAGTAACACTCATATTAAGAATTAGAATTAGAGAACTTCTTATGCCCATCCCAGTCACAGTCCCTCCTCCTCCATTATTTCTAGTAAGCTAAATAATCTATACTTGATTTTTCTAGTGAATATTTCCATGCCTTTGATTTAGTCTTAACTATGTAAACTAAAGGATTCCCTGGTAACTCAGCTGGTAAAGAATCAGCCTGCAATGCAGGAGACCCCAGTTCAGTTCCTGGGTTGGGAAGATCCCCTGGAGAAGGGAAAGACTACCCTCTCCAGTGTTCTGGCCTGGAGAATTCCATGGACTGTATAGTTCATGGAGTTGCAAAGAGTCAGACATGGCTGAGCAACTTTCACTTCAGTTCACTTTCACTTTCATGTAAACTAAAACATAGTTTAGTGTTTCCAGTTTTTAAACTTTACATAAAGCCATTATTGAGTGAAAACTCACCACTGTGTGAAATTCATCCTATAAGGTATATGTTGCTCTAGTTCATTTATTTTCAATGCTGGTTGGTATATCATTGTATGACTGTGCCACACGTTATCTATTAATTCTGCTTTTGGATTTTTGCTTTGGCCGGCAATGTTGTATTGTTACAGACTGTGTGTATGCTCAGTTGCTTCAGTTGTGTCCTATGCTTTGTGACCCCGTGGACCTTCGCCACGGGGCTCCTCTGTCCATGGTATTTTCCTGGGAAGAATACTAGAGTGGGTTGCCACGCCCTCCTCCAGGGAATCTTCCTGACCCAGGAATCAAAACTGCGTTTCCTATGTCTCCTCCGTTGCAGGTAGATTCTTCACTGCTTGAGCCATCAGGGAAGCCCCTATCACAGACTAGTATATATTATAAAGTTTCTCTAGATTAGAGTATATGTCTTAAAATTAAATTAGTGGATTGTAACATCACTGAAAGTATGCATTTTAAATACTCATTTTTTAACATTGTTGTTGTTTTTCTTTAGCATTTAAAAAAATCCAGTGTAGTTGCATTTGGAAGGCAGAATTATCAATAAGTTCACTCTCCCTTTCTTTTTCACTCTTTTCCCTTTTTCCCATACATGTACACACATACACCCTTCATCAAGAGTCCAATTTAGAAAATAAGGGCTTGCTTTATTATTTAAAATAAAAACTTTTATTTTTCATATTTTAAATATAGATAGCTCCTAACTTACAAATATATGATAACTACAGTTACAAAGACCAGATGTTTTCCTTCTCAATACTCTTTGCTTCTCTGTAAAGCTGGAATTCTACTACAGGAAGGAAAGGAAGTTGTATTATATTTATTACCCCTAATAATTTCCTAGTACCTCTTTGTAATACTTTGTTCCAGCTCCTCACAACTGTGAATCTTCTTTCTGTGACTGTAGGCAGAAGATGTTCTAGAATTCTATATGAATTAAATTACACAGTACCTACTCAGTCTAGCTTACATTTTGTTTTTGTATGAATGTCTTTTGTTCCCCCCCACACACTGGATCGTTTTTTATTTATTTATTTTTTTCCATTTATTTTTATTAGTTGGAGGCTAATTACTTTACAACATTGCAGTGGGTTTTGTCATACACTGAAATGAATTAGCCATGGATTTACATGTATTCCCCATCCCGATCCCCCCCTCCCACTTCCCTCTCCACCCAATCCATCTGGGTCTTCCCAGTGCACCAGGCCCGAGCACTTGTCTCATGCACCCAACCTGGGCTGGTGATCTGTTTCACCCTAGATAATATACATGTTTCGATGCTGTTCTCTTGAAACATCCCACCCTCGCCTTCTCCCAGAGTCCACAAGTCTGTTCTATACATCTGAGTCTCTTTTTCTGTTTTGCATATAGGGTTATCGTTACCATCTTTCTAAATTCCATATATATGTGTTAGTATACTGTAATGGTCTTTATCTTTCTGGCTTACTTCGCTCTGTATAATGGGCTCCAGTTTCATCCATCTCATTAGAACTGATTCAAATGAATTCTTTTTAATGGCTGAGTAATATTCCATGGTGTATATGTACCACAGCTTCCTCATCCATTCGTCTGCTGATGGGCATCTAGGTTGCTTCCATGTCCTGGCTATTATAAACAGTGCTGCGATGAACATTGGGGTGCACGTGTCTCTTTCAGATCTGGTTTCCTCGGTGTGTATGCCCAGAAGTGGGATTGCTGGGTCATATGGCAGTTCTATTTCCAGCTTTTTAAGAAATCTCCACACTGTTTTCCATAGTGGCTGTACTAATTTGCATTCCCACCAACAGTGTAAGAGGGTTCCCTTTTCTCCACACCCTCTCCAGCATTTATTGCTTGTAGACTTTTGGATAGCAGCCATCCTGACTGGCGTGTAATGGTACCTCATTGTGGTTTTGATTTGCATTTCTCTGATAATGAGTGATGTTGAGCATCTTTTCATGTGTTTGTTAGCCATCTGTATGTCTTCCTTGGAGAAATGTCTGTTTAGTTCTTTGGCCCATTTTTTGATTGGGTCATTTATTTTTCTGGAGTTGAGCTGGAGGAGTTGCTTGTATATTTTTGAGATTAATCCTTTGTCTGTTGCTTCGTTTGCTATTATTTTCTCCCAATCTGAGGGCTGTCTTTTCACCTTGCTTATAGTTTCCTTTGTTGTGCAAAAGCTTTTAAGTTTCATTGGGTCCCATTTGTTTATTTTTGCTTTTGTTTCTAAAATTATATGAATGTCTTTTGAAGAATAAAACTTTAAAAAATTTGGTTAAGTTCTGAAAGTTTTAATGAAGTCTAGAGAATTAGAAATAATAACAACAAACACCTGAAATTCTTAGTTTGCCTTTTTTGTTCACCACTGATGAAGTACTTTACATTCTACTCCTTCTGTGCAACTGTCCTTGAGTTAAATGGATTAACATTTTATTTCAACAGACTTGTTTTATATTGGGCACTAGAGTTATAAAGATACTTAATAAGTGTCATTTTTCTTCAAAGTACTCATTTTAGTACTTAATGTCTCTTCTCATCATCTGTCTTATACAGTCAAGTCCATATACTTTTCCTTCGTTTGGTGCCTAATACAGTTCTGGAGGTAATGAAGTATTTTCAATATATTTTCAATTATTTTGAATATATTTTCAATATATTTCAATATATTCAATATTTTCAATATATTTTTATCTTGTATTATAGTTATACTTTTTTCCACACACAAATATATGTTTCTCATAGTTAGAATCTCTCTTTTTCTTAGTATTCTTCATATAGTTCATAGTACACAGGGACATTCACTTAATATTCAGTGATTGAGTGGAATTTTTGATGACCATGTTTAACCAAGGTTCTCCTAATTAGTTTTTTGATAATAAAACCTTTGACTTACTTTACTGATGGATAAATGAATAAAAGATACTCTCACTTCAGATGTCATCACAATAGATTGTTTTTCTAGACAGAACAAAGATGCCTGATTTTCAGTTGAATATTTTTGAGTGACCTTTCTTACACAAACTTGATGACTGTTAAAAAGTCTGTATACTACCTATAGCTTGGGTTCTCTAGTCAGAAATTGAAGTCTTTTATAAAGTCTTCTCTATTTAATGAGTTACATATTTTATAACTTTTGGAATTCCTTTTTCCAGTGAAGCCAGTACATTAAAACATAAAGACTATATAAGTATATAGAAAATTATGGCAATAACTTTCTTTCTTTATCTAGGTCCTGGGGACACCAACAAGGGAGCAAATTAGAGAAATGAACCCAAACTACACGGAATTCAAATTCCCTCAGATTAAGGCACATCCTTGGACTAAGGTGAGTCAGAAAGAGTTTTTTAAAAAATACATTAACCAGTAGTTAATTAGAAGTTGGATTTCTCATTGTTCTTGAACTAAACTATTTTGAGACTAGGTGGCTGTCAGAGTACAAAGTACAACAGCACTTCTGCATGTAAAAATAATTGGATAATTATGCATCAGTGTTTCATTGATTGTATATAGCTTAATTCCCATTGATTTCCTGTAGAAAGTTTCCAATCTGGGTTTTTATTTGTAGGATGAGGACAGTACATATGCATAGTTTTCAAATAAAGAATTTCATTAAGTGCAGGATCTTATATATTAATTTTTACTCTTTAAAATTCAGAAGTAATTTCTTTACATAGTTCAGGGTACTTACATTCAGTATCATATAGCATTCAGTATCACATATATTTTTATTCTTTTTAAACTACTGATATATAGATTATATTTTGTGTTCTTCTCTTGTTTACTTTCCTGTTGGTGTTTTGGGAGCAAGAGTAAAATGAAGATTTGGCCTCAGTAATAGTATGCGTTGAAAGCAGTTGATATGCCCATGGGATGTCACTAGCCATTGGAAAAGCCTGACTTCAACTTTTAGTTGGAGCCAATTCTAAGAGCATAAGCACTAACTTATGAGAAGATTTTATTTTTTGTTTTGATAGTTAATTGAAGTGATTGTAGAGAGATTTTATTAAAAAGTTATTTTCATGTCTGATTTGTGAGATTGTATGCAGAGGGGAAAAAAATCTCAGTAAGGTTTATAGCTAGAGTGACTCTCTTGTTTTATAGATTGTGAAACTCTAGCTAAACATGCCAAATGACTTATCCATGTTTCCATATGTGACTGACAAAGTCAGGATTAAGCGTCTTCTCTGTGTATGTGTGTGTGTGTTTAACACCAAGTTTTTTAACGTTCTAGTTATGTGCCATTATATATCCCCCTTCCCAGTTTACTCTTATATTTCATTATATATTTTGTGGGTTGGAAATACTCAACTTTCTAATACATATTTCAATCAGAGATCTTGTATATTTAAAAATGTACGTAGAACAGTTTGTTTTGAACATTGAGAAGTTCATTTAATTGGTTATATATCTTTTATAATAATAGGTAAAGTAATTTAGGTGAAATAATTTACGTTTCCAGATTCAAAGTAGGTCTCTTGCTAAGTTGTATTATTCAAGTTTCTTTGCTTCAAGTTATCACATATCTTCACTTCACTTCAGAAAATCCTCTTATTACTAATTATTCATTATTTAGAAACAAAGACCTCAGTAATAATTTTACTGCCAGAATAATAAGTTGTAGCTTTCATTGATCAAGACATTGCTCTCTCCCCCACCCTCCTTTTAAGTTTTCAGTAAACACTAAATGTTCTGAGATAAGTCATCCTTTGGTCTTGGTATTTTAAGTTTATTTTGAATCTGAGTCAGATTTTTTAGGTCCTCTCACTGGTTCTAAACTCAGAATCATAGGTGCCCTATTTGGATTTAGAATCCGAGCTGCAGTTTGAATCCAGCAAAGTTACTCCAAGTTACAGTGTAATAAGTGATTTGTAGTATACCATGATTTCAGCCATGTTAAAGAAGAACAAGAAGCAAAAAGAATTCTGTGTATTGAATTAATACAGGGAAGTATTCCAAAATGCTAATGGTAGTTTGAATAAGAAGAGTATAGGTGATTTTATTTTGTTTGTTCTGCATTTCCATATTTTTTTAAATAAGCATGTTATTTTAAGGAAGAAAGAAAAGTAAAATTCTTTTTGGTCGAATCTGTTCTAAGTATTCATCCTGTGTATATAGTTTCTAAGCAATACAATGCTGAAATGAGGTCATGAGATCTTATTTAGTAGTCCTTGTCCTCATTTTTTTTTAAATCAAGACTGCCACCAGTATTAGTGTGTGTCATATTCTGTACTTTTTCCCCTTGATTATATCTCTTCAAGTATTAGCCAGGATGGAATGTGAGGAATGATACAGTTACCATGCAAGCAATAGAAGATTAATGGTGAATTTGCATATGCTTTACATCTTTTACCCTTGTGAATTCCAGATGTTTCTATGTCTTACACTAATGCTTTTCCAGCTCGAATAATATACACAAAGCCCTTTTGTTTTATTGAGGCTTCTATTCTTGTACCATATATAGAATAATAATTCAATTCTCCCATCTATTTTGTGTCTTCAAACTCTTGTGAATTCTTCACTCATATGTGGCATAATTTGGTTCTCACTTGGTATAAATGCATTTATTATATAATAGGACATTACATTAATTTCTCATTAATGCACACCATTAGGTTGCTGTTACTGTGGTTGTAAACACAAAACCAAATTCAGACACACAAATTCCATGGCACTACTCTGTCTTCCAGATGATCCAGAATATATTTACATTGATTATTAAGAGTAGATTATTGTCAAAATAAGAATACCAAATTTTAAATTTCTAGAGGAAAGTCTCCCCTCCTTTGTGATAGTGAATGTCAGCTTGAGAAATACTCTTTTATGCTAGGCAGCCAGTGGAGTTTTGTTTTTTGTTTTTTTAACATACATAATGTCATTCTCTAAAGGAAAAAGCATTTTGCCTTTGGAGAGCAGGTAAATGGGAGTCTGGAAACAAAATCTGCTTTGCCTTTATCGAAGTCTTCTGTTAAAACCTACTTAGCCCCATTTGCTGAAACCCTTTTTTTGATCATGTAATAGTGTAGTACAGCTATATCCCCAGAACCGGGAGCTCCTGTTCTCAAAAAAAGTAGGCAGACAAAAAGATGAAGGAAGAAAATGTCTTCCTTGGAAGCATTGAGTGAGGGTATTCAGATGTATAAGAAAGATAGCAAACAGAAGAAACAAAACAATGAAATAATCCTAGTGTGATACATTGCAGGGATCTTGAGAATTCAGAAATTCAGTAAGATGCCCTTGACTATTACCTAATATCCAGAACAACCTAATTCATTGAATAAGCATTTGTGGCTTAAGTTGGAAAGGAAATATATATACTAATGTTTTGAAACGGGGACCAGTATTGAGAGTGATGGTGGGGGAAGATAAATACTTGCCTTTTGGTGTATGCTATACAGTTAAAAGAATAAAAGCCAGATGGGACGCAAAAGGAAATGATAGCAAAAGCAAATTGAGAATTAAATAGAGGTGGAGATTGGTTGGAAGAAGAGAAGAAGCTGAAATTCTGTATTTGGTACATGGAGATTTGGGTAAATGACAGTCTATTTAGGTATGAAGTAAGGATCTAGTATAAGCATTGCTCCCATTCTTTGTGCCTCATGTTGCTTTTTGCTTTTGTAAGAAAGCAGTTAGCTGTTCTGTCTTTTCTTCAGGTTCTTTTGAAAACAAGTATACATATAGAGGATTTGTCCTCTCTTATCTCCACTGCCCTGACTTTAGCCCAACATCATATCATAGAATTACTGAAACAACCTCCTACCTCCTGAGTTCCCTCCTTCATATCTTTCACATCCTCACTGCTGTCAAAGTCATCTTCCTTAAAGCACATGTGATGTTGTCTCTCCTGTTTGAAAATTTTCTGATTCCTCATTGCCTATAGGAAAATTTTTATATACCATACGTATAGTGAGAAGAGTGATTATATGTCCCAGTTTATGTTTGCCCAGTATGATTATTAATGGCATGTTCTTCACACTCTTCACTGTCCCACTTTGGATGACAGATTATCCAGTCACTCTCTTCCTAATTATTTCTGCTTTTCTCTCCAGAAAAATGAGAGATTTAGTTCTTTGTCCTGCTCTTAACCTTTCCTGAGGCATTTAGTCAGTTAAACCTAATCTTTCCCAAGTTCTCCAGTTCCCTCACCCTTAAATGCATGTAATTAGGCAATGAATTTAAAAGTTTAGTGTTCAGTTAGGATAGATTAAGGATTTCTAATAAAGTTAACATTGTAATGGTTATATATGTTTATTCCCTATTTTGAGTATCTGATTGTGCTCACTTTTTGTTAAAGTTAAAGTAAATATTCCCCTGTCTTATTCCAGTATTAAATAATCCTGTGAGGTCAGTTAGATCAGCAGTACCCAGCCATTTTGGCACCTGGGACCAGTTTCGGAGAAGACCATAGACCAGGGTTGGCATGGTTTCAGGATGATTCAGATGCATTACATTTACTAAGCAGTTTATTTCTATTATTACATCAGCTCCACCTCAGATCATCAGGCATTACATCCTGGAGGTTGGGGACCTCTGAGTTAGGTAACACAGATGTCTGTATATTCTTTCAGAGTAATGTAATTCATGAATGATATCTAGTTAGTAGAGAAAGTAGATTAGAATCCCAAGGGCCTTGGTTTCTTTAGATTGACTACTGTTTAATAACTTAACTACATATGACAGTGTTGTCCTGCTCACTTTGAAGGGATCATGCTGTCATGCTAAATTTCTTAATCTGATCAAACTGTTCTCCTGATTGTTCCCCGGAAAAGCCACATTCATTTCTACCTCTTACTAGTGAACACTTAGAGTGTTCTTTCTCACTGCTTACTCAGTCTTGACCTTTGTCAAGACTTCAGATCTCCTTCTCCCATGAAACATCTAATTATCCAAGCTCTATGTGATTATTCCCACCGTATAACTCCTGTAATACCTTCCAAGTCACACCATATATGTACCATAGCAGCTTCTCATTTCTCTTTTGTTGATAATAAAATGAATGTTACCTAAAAATGTTTGTTGCTGAGACTTGGGTATACATGATTAATAGTTAATTGCTCTAGGATATGTGGGGACCTTAGACCATTGATTTAAGTATCCCAGAAAGCATTATCCACAAAAATCAATCCTTACATACTTGATTTCTTAGAACACAGTCCACATGCTGTGAAATGAGTGAATACTAGTGTTTCTAACTAGCTAACAGAGTAAGCAAAAAATTGAGGTCATTTCAGCCATCAAAGGAATCAGACTAGCTGAATTAGTTAATACATGTATTATTCTCTATGCTTAAAGCTAAACCAAAAGGCCCACTTTTATTTTTTTAAATGACTTTCTTCATAATGTTTTTTCCTGAGTCTTTGACTACAAGATGAATTTTCATTTGGTAAACTTACCTGTTTTAACTAGTTTCACCCATTACCAAAAATACATTCAAAGGGTCTTAGCACAAAGCAAAAATCCCTGTCAAACATTTTGTTGTTGTTGTTTTGCTGATCTACTCTGCTTTTCTGGCCTTTCTGCCTTGTTTTGCTCATGTATTCCGGAAAGCATGAAACTATGTTGGGGATTTCTGTTGATTCCTAAGTTTGTCATTTGTCTGTTTTGTCTGCTGTTCAGGTAATCAGTTTCAATATTACTATTCAACCCATCTGCCTACAGACCTCAATTAGTACACTATCACTTGTCTCATAAATACACTATATTCCCTACTGAATTTTTACCTCCATCTTCAGTAGTGCTAGAATAATCACTTCTTTTCTAACATCTGTTTTGCTATGTGAATAGACCTCTTCACTTTTCTGTTTATTACTGGCTTTACCCTATTTCTTTGGAAACTATTGCACATTAAAATCCAACTACTAAGGTGGTGAATCCATATGTGAGAAGAATAAGGTAAAAAAGAAAGAATGGATCACTTGTGGGGAGCAGAGGATAGGGTTGAGGGTCAATTTAAAAAAGGCAAAAATTTGTGACTTATCATTTGTTCTTTAAAACACTTATCTCCTGTGTATCAGTGCTGTGCTGGACACCATAAAGGATACAAAAAAACATTAAAATATATAGTCTCCATCTTTGAAACACTTAAGGGTGATATATATCTGAGTCAGTGTAAGCAAATATTGAATAATATATAACCATATACTTGATTACATGCTGTTGGTGTTCCAAGGTTTTTCACATGCTATAGGTATCATGGGGAGGATCTTCAGTGTGGGTGGTGGAGGGAAAAGGGAGCCTCCTTTTAAAGGTGATAGGAGGACTGGTGGGTGAGGGTGGGTACTGTTGAAGGACAGTTTAGATTTGCTTGCGTGCATGTGTGCTCAGTCACTTAGTCGTGTCGGGCTCTTTGTAACCCTATGGACTGTAGCCCACCAGGCTCTTCTGTCCATGAAATTTTCCAGGCAAGGATACTGGTTACCATTTCCTGCTTCATGGGATCTTCTCGACCCAGGGATCAAACCCATGTCTCTTGTGTCTCCTTAATTAACAGGTGGATTCTTTACACCTGGGAAGCCCTTGGGTTTGCTTAGGTGCTGCTAAAGTTAGGAATTGTTGTAGCTTAGGGGACTATCCCTTAAGGTATGCAGGTATGGATGAAAAGGAAATATTCCTATATTCTTAGGAAGATAAACCTGAATATAGTAATCATTTTATGAATAATGAAAGATTAAATTGGATAAGTAGACATTTGGTAAATTACACTTCTATAGTATTTTATCAGCAAATGAGATTAGAGGAAGGAATTTGTGGCATAGTTCAATGCTGATACCAACATTATATTCCTTACGTGTATTTTAATTAGTGAAGCTAAACTTTATTGAATTGTGGCTAAGGAAAGGATGTTTGTGTTTCTTATGAATTATGTGCTGTACATGAGCACTTCAGTAGACTTAAATTCTTTTCTTAGTTAATTAACTAGTCAGCAAATCCATGACATTGTCTCACTTTTAGTCCTGCATATAGCTTTACAAATTGCAAATAATTTTATATACTGGGGTTTCTCTTCAGAAGTGTTCATGGTTTATCAGTTTTTAACATTGAATGCTTGTGTATTTTGTGTATGACCAGCGAACAGTGTCTGTACTGTACATTTATCACAATGAAAACTTGAAGAGGAATAGCTGCTTGAGCTACTGAACAAGGCACAGTACTTGTTCTCCATTCTACTTAGATTAATTATCATTGTCCCATAGGCATTTTTACATTGCTCTGGTTGGCTGTTTAATATAGTGGAATTGTTGAGAGCTGATGCTATGAGAATCAACCGTAGGCCTTGATGTGGTATATAAATGGTAATTTTAAGGGGCTTAAGATTCAGTCATAACAGTTAGCTCCAGGTTGAAATTTGATGTTTGATGGCAAAAGTCTATTCTAGGACATGTGAAGGAGAAAATGGCCTGTGTCCTTTCTGAGTTATCCAAATGCAAGTTTATTTTGAATAACTCTTCCATTAAGAACTCATTCTTAACTCATTCAGTACCACAGAGACTTTTATTTTTGGGGAGAAAAAATTTTTTTTTCTCCTAGTTTCTTCTTTAGACTAGTATTTGTGATAAGAGTTTGTTCAATTTAAGAAAATGAGTTGCTGCACAGGTGAGGTAGTAGTTGAATCACTTAAAAGTTCATGTCAGTGTTTTGGTTCTTTTCAGTTTTTCTTTTCTCTTTTGTTTTCTTTCTTCCTTTTGTTTATTTCTTTATTTTTTGCTTTGTTCTGTTTTGTTTTATTTCCTTACTTCTGGTTTTAGTTTTTACAGGGAGTGTTTTGGGCTGGCTCTTCATGGCCTTGCTAACATTCTGGCTGGCCATATTTAGTCTGCGCACTAATTGTTAGTTGGCCCAGTTGAGTCTTACTTTGTGCTCTCATTTTTTTAGTCTGGTTTTCTATTTTTGTCCACCTGGTGTGTTTTAAGTTCATGAGAGATTTTTATCCTAACGGGCCGGATTTTAATTTGTGAACTAAATTTTAGTCTGCAGACTAAAAGTAATCCGCGGATTATTTATTTTTGCAAAATATTTAATTCCCCCACTGGAAACTATCCTAAAAGAATGTTAAATTCTCTTAGAATAGCCAAGGGAATTCACAGCTACTGGTGAGTTCTGCCATTTTTTGTTCTCAATACCTAGACATAATAGACCCTGCTACCTCCCTTTTGCATATTTGGCTCGGTTGTGCCTAGGTGTTGGTTTACATTACTTACTATGCATGTCACCTATAACTGTGACTGTCCCTTAGTTGTATTGTTCATTGTATATATTTTTGTTTAGCTTTTGGTGGGTGAATTGGGCATATTTGCAGATGGAACTGTGTTGAATTTGTAGTGCTCAGAGATACAGAATTTTTTTCAGTGAGTTTTTCCAAAAAGGAAAGGGTATGAGGGAGCAAAGCCCACAATAGAAAAAGTAAGTTTATACCCGCACTTGTGAGGTGATATGTCAATTTCTTGAAGAGTCCTAAGATAATGAGAATGTCAGTAAATATCTTTTATCAGGGAAGTCAATCCAAAATGGAGAATAATCCGCGGTGGCCTGATCCTTCTTAGCTCACACAAATTGAAAATATCTGGCTTGAAATCTATAAATTAAATAAATTTATCACTTTCCTCTCATCACTAATAATTTAGCAAAAATGTTTATACTGTGTTACTGGAATTCATTAATAGAGAAAAATTAGCATTTTGGGAACTCACATCTTGAAAAGCAGGCTGATATGCCCCTTCCCAGCCATGTCAATGGACGATGAATCCAGGTCATAGAAGACCAAACACTTTACTTTGGGAATTTTACTTCTAGATTTCATTTTGATTTTAACTTTTTTTGGTTTTATATTTTTTTAATAAATGCACTGGCATCAGAACATAATTAAATTAAAATTTAATTTCTTTACTGTGCCTCACCATTGCGCAATCAAATTTTTTTTGCATACACTGTGGTGAAATAATTTTTAAAACTTGGACTTGCTACTGTGCAGACTGATGTTTAAAGTTTATAACTGTATAAACATTTTCTATGTCCCCCCCCCTCCACACCATGGATTTCTTATAACATTGGATATATTTTTCCTTGCTGGACTATTCTCTTTTGGATTGACTTCCCCTGTTTGGATTATTTCACTGCATTCTCATCTTTAGGATTCGTCAGGAACAGGACATTTCACCTCAGGAGTGCGGGTATGTACTTAATTTTTTTTTCCCAAAATTTCAGGGCAGGTGTATAAAACTCGGGGGGAAAACTTTTTTGAAAAGCTAGTTATTCATTCTTGAAATGTAATAATAAAAACAAAGTAGGTAGCTGTGTGGTATAGGTTTTGCTTGTGGTATATATTTAGAGTCTCTGTTTCTTGATTATTGATAACTAAGCTGAAGTTTAGGAGTGGGGTTTGAAAAGTATTTTTACAAGAATAAATATTGACAAAACCCCACAGAACCAAAGATTTCGACTGTTAAAACAATTTAGTATGGAATGAAAAGCAGCAGAAACCTCATTATTAAAAGCCAAGTGACAGTAGTTACTGGTTTCCTTTTCTTTAGACACAAAGATAATTCAGAAAAACTTTCTAGTTTGGCCTATAATTTTTGAAAGTTGCATGCTACCACACCCTGTCTTATGGTCAGAAATCTGGACATTCGGTATGCTGGGATTTGACCCCACATAATTTTCTTAACCTTTATCCGTAGATTACTGAACCAAGGCTTTTCTCATCAGGAATCTCTCAAGGGGTTAGAAATAATAATGGGTACTTTTTTAAAAAGGCAGGTTAAGTCTTGATTTTAATGTAGGTTCTTAGAATGAATTATTTTGATTATTTTTCTAACTCTTTGATTCTGTGAGTTAGGGTTCCCTGGCAGAGTAAGCTATTATGTGCCTTAGTACCAACATGGATGGTGACTTTTAGTCAGTAAGAATCAAAAAAGACGTGGATGATTTTCTTTTTACTAATCAGAAGTACATTTAAAATACTGGTTTATTAACAGATGTAACACAGAATTTTTTCATTTAAAATACACTCACTGTCCACCTATCCTACATATGAATGTTAAAAGATACTTATTTCTACTTTTGGTGGTGGTACTTTTAATTCTACTTTTGTGCTCCCATTATTGGTCAGAGGCTTTTTTATTAGACTAGCTAACATTTATAAAATAAATCCATGTGCTGTCAAATAAATACAAACTTCCCTCAGGGGTAAAATAAGTCAGTAGTGCTTAGTATTTTCATAAAAAATTTCTTAATGTTTCCACTGGTTATTTTCTTCTACATTTTGAGTTTGATTATGGTTCTGGCTGGGGAGCAAGAGAGGGGGGAAATGACCACAAACAGTGAAAGATGTAAACATTTCAAATAATATAGTACGTTAGTTCCTTGACGGAGGCAAGTCAGATTATTCAAAAGAATAAAGATAAAGCAGCTTGTAACTGTGGAGAGGGTTTTCTAACACAGCCAACTAAATTAACTAAGATCTTTAGTGTTCACAAATAAATTTCTAGTATCCTACTCAAGCCAAGATTTCTCAATTTCCAAGGAAAATGTCTTTATTAATAATAAACTTTGTTTCAAAATGAAAAAAGGATTTTCATTGTAGAAAGTACTCTTATAAATAGTCTCATAATCTAATGAGTTCTGTAGTAGTAACCAGTTCTCCTGCTTTCAGCCTAGGTGAATAGCCAAATGTTACATGAGCCTTTCTCATTAGGAAACAAGCCTCTCAGACTCCTCTGTGCCTTGTCACGGTCTGCATGTCCTCTCCTCACATGTAGGTCTCTTGCCCTCCATTTTTACACATCTGTTTTCCTTTTTGTGTCTGTCAACTTCCACCATTGCCCCTACTTGAGTCTGTGTTCTTCTGTCAAGGGATATGTGTTTCATTTTTCTTTAATTTCAAAAGCTTTCGGTCCAGATGTTTATGTTTGTTTGTTTTTCCCTTCTGCTTTTATTCTTTAACTATCCATAATTTAAAACAAAGTATATTTTTCATAGTTTTATGTATTTATTTGAAGTTTTAAGACATAGATGAGTAGAAAGCTTTCTGTTCCTTTAAATAAGTTTATTTGCATTTTGCCTCATTATAGCTTTCAGTTTACTTTTTCTGTGAGTTAATGTTCTTAATGAAAAATAAGTTTCTCTATTTCCTGATTAAAACCCTAGAATATCTATTCAAATGAGGGATAAACTGGCCGTGTTAAGATAACAACTGACTGAGAAAATATTTTTGGACATTTCGAGAAGTCCTGGATATTGAAGAATTTCTTCAAATAATAATAGGCTCTGTTTATTGAAAAGTTAATACCAAATCATTAAAGAATAAACAGCTTTTCTTTTTAAAAAGATATTAATTGCCAGATTTGAACAGTGCTGTTGATTGTCAACAATTGTTCTGCTAAAAAAAAAGTCACACCAAAGAGGCAAACCCTATAACTCTTAGAGCAGTCAAAACTTTAAAATTAACTTTGCATTCTTCTAGTTGTGACTGCCCCCAGAATCGAGACTTTCTTTTGTGCCTGTCATATATTGTTGCATGTTTGATTATACTGCTTTATGATTAGCTTGTATAGATTTTTTTTTCCATTTCCCCTAGATTTTTCTCTGAGCCTTTTTCATATAGTCTTTAATTAGCAGTTCACCCCAATGTGGTAAATTGTATGCAGTTAACTCCTTTCATTCTAAAAGGTTTCTTTCACAAATGCAACCATGTTTTTGTACATGGTGGGAATTAACTCAGTACTCAGACGATAATTTGCAAAGATTCTTACATGAAACAGTAACTGTACTTTCTCTCTCTCTCTTTTTTTTTTTATTCTGTAGGTCTTCCGACCCCGAACTCCACCCGAGGCGATTGCACTGTGTAGCCGTCTGCTGGAGTATACACCAACTGCCCGACTGACACCACTGGAAGCTTGTGCACATTCATTTTTTGATGAATTACGGGACCCAAATGTCAAACTACCAAATGGGCGAGACACACCTGCACTCTTCAACTTCACCACTCAAGGTAACTCCTAACACTTAATCCTTTTACCATTTTCTGGGAAAGTTACACATGTGTAACTTGAATTTTTTATTAAATCTTTGCAAGGTAAAAGTAGGCATATTAAGTACTTATACATGAAGGGAGCATCCTATATAACCACTTACTAGGCTACCACACTTACATGGTTTTGAACAAAATAAAGGCAGATTAAAGTTTTCAAATAGGCATAGCTTCTCTAATTTTTAGCAGGTTCTGATAAATCTTGGTACTGGAGAAGTTACAGAGATTTCACTGAGTAAGGTTTATCACTAATAAGATTGACATACAATTTAATCTACAGATTTATGTCTCGAATGTTAAAATTCCTTGCTTCTCAGGGATTTATATCAAGTTTTCTTAACCCGGAAATAAACTGGTGGCTATATTTGTGTAATTTTAGATGCCATACAGACAGAGAAGACTGGAGTCCTATAAAGCCCATCTTAGAACTTATATAAGGGATGTAGAAGAGAAATTTTCATCTCTCCTGAGTCTTGGCATCATTGCTACTGCTAAGAAAACACTGATAGGAAAACTGAGTTTGTGTATTGATGGTTTCTAAAAAGCCCAGGAATGGTCATTTTGCATTCATTCATCAGCCACACTGCCACTGATGATGTTCTTCATAAACTGAACATTAAACATGTCCAATTCCCTGTAGATAAAACAAGGAGTAAATAGATAGCTTGTTTTGATTAATTAGTCAAGCTAAAAATATAGAAGGGATAGAGAGCTTTCTGTGATCAGGAAATAGATATAATTTACTTTATTATAAAGCAAAAAAATTTCCCCCTTTTAAGCTTTTTTTAAAACTGATTGTGGAAAAATACATTTCTTAAACTTTAGATTTGGAAGATGTGAGTTGCTAGTAGAATAGACTTGGATGATTCAGTTGACTATAGGATGATTCAGTTGACTATAATCTTAAACTGTCAGTATTATGTAGCTACTAGCAATCCTTACGTAATCTCATTCATCAAAGAAAAATCTTCAGGTTTCCTGCGACTATTAATTTTGACTTGGGCTGATCAGAAATCATTTGGAATGTTGTTTTAAGTCCTGACTATGCCTCTCTAAGATGTTAATGAACACCAGGTAGAGTATACAAAGGAGCAGAATTAAATATAGAGCCTCGAAAGTGAAGATTTAAGGGACTCCTGAGAAAAATACCTCAAATAAAGGCCCCAGCCCCTGGCATAAAGAGAGACTAAATAAATATTTAGAAATCAGTAAAGACGTTTTCAACTGGTAATAGTGGAACACGGTGTTTTCAAAATACTGATCTGTATATCAGGGAAAAGCTGGATGATGTCAAATATTGTAGGTAAGATTATTCTTGTTTGGCAGAAGGTTTGACTGGGAGACTGTTGTTCTCTTCCACAGCAGAAATTCATTAATTCCGTGTCATAAAAATTTTAGACATCTTGAGAAAATAAATTTTATTTTTAATTCTTAACTACTTTTGCTTTAATCAAGAGTAATGCGTTTAGATGGAAGAAAATGTTAAAAGTGCAGGGGAAGTATAGAGAAAATTAAAATCACAGTCCCGAAAGGATTACTTTTAGCTTTCAAAGTAATCACTTTATGATTTTATGGTGTAGCTCTTTTCTAATACTAATAACCCTTGAATATAAAGTGATCCTCTGTTTTCCCATTTAGAAGATCCCAAAAGGATTCTTTCTGTTAACTCAAATAGATTTAAATTATATAAAGTTAATATTAGTTTGGGCTTCCCAGATGGCTCAGTGGTAAAGAATCCACCTGTCAGTGAAGGAGAGGCAAGAGATCCCTGGATCATGAAGATCCCCTGGAGAAGGAAATGGCAACCCACCGCAGTATTCTTGCCTGGAGAATCCATGAACAGAGGAGCCTGGTGGGCAATAGTCCATGGGTTTGGTCACAAAGAGTCAGCCTGAGCGCACACACAGTAGTTTAGGATTTTTTTTTACATCTCAAATTTTATAGAACAATATTTTTCAAACTCTATATGCATCTTTCACATCTGTGTCTTTGTAATCAGTAGAGCTACTTTTTGAACCATCTGTATAGTTTTTTAGGTTACATTACCTAAAGTTTTTGATATGAAGCTCTTTTTGAATCTACCTGAGACCACCATTGGAAATTCTACATCCATCTATTTACATAAATGTGTCATATTATGCATAATATAATTATTTAATGGATTGCTTTATAAAGTAGTATCTTAAAAGACTTTTGTTTTTAAATTTTGTTTATTTTTAATTGGAGGATATTTGCTTTACAATAGTGTGTTGGTTTCTGCCATACATCAGCATGAATCTGCCCTAGACATTCATATGTCCCCTCCCTCTTCAACTTCCCTCCCACCTCTCACCCGATCCCGCCTCTCTAGGTTGTCGTAGAGCACTGGGTTTGAGCTCACTGCGTTTTATTTGCATACGGTGACATCCAGTAAAACTGTGGATCGTGGCATGAGAAGCTACTAAGTCAGTGCTAGATTTTTTTTTTGCCTCTTTTTTTACCATTTCTGTCAGATAACTAAAGTTTCCCAAAGTTTAAAGGGAACCTTGATCTTTTTTTTCCCATGCTAAGGATTTCCTCCAGCAAGTACTTTGTTTCTCAAAATATACAAATCAAGACAGCCCCTTGTTAAGTAAACAACTTGGTAGAAACTCAGATGCATACACATGATGCATCTTGTGATATTTATGATGGATATATTTTGGAGAATAATTCTCCTTAAATTGAGACATATTTTAATCCATACTCTTCAATGTGTGTGTGCACCTGTTTGTGTTCACTGAAACTGAGATACTGCTTAAACCTTTTATTTGATTAGATTTTGAAAATCAAGATTGTTTCACTGTTCACATACATCATTTCTGAAGTAATTACATTTGATTCTTTAGTCACTGGCTAATAACTTTCCATTATTACTAAAGAAAATAAAGTTTAAAACAACTAAGTTATTTTATGAATTTCTAAGCTTTTTTAAAAACTGAGATAAAATTCATGTAGCATAGTAAGATAAACCATTTTACACTAAACAATCCAGTGATGTTTAATACATTCACAGTGTTGTACAGCTATCAGCTCTCTCAGATTCCACAACATTTTCATTGCTCCTGAAGAAAACTCCATGCCCATTAAGCATTCAGTCTCCACTGACTCCTTTTTTGACCCTTAGCAGCCACCAGTCTGCTTTCTGTCTCTGTGGATTTACCTCTTCTGGATATTTCATATAACGGAACCACATAATATGTGACCTTTTGTGTCTGGCTTCTTTCAGTTAGCATGTTTTCAGGGCTTATCCATGTTGTAGCATGTATCAGTATTTCATTCCCTTTTTATGGTGGAATAATATTTCATTATGGGCTTCCCAGGTGGTTCAGTGGTAAAGAACTCACTTGCCAATGCAGGAGACATAGGTTTGATCCCTGGGTCGAGACGATCCCCTAGAAGGAAATGGCAACCCACTCCAGTATTCTTGACTTGGGAAATCCCATGGACAGGAGCCTGGCGGGCTACAATCCCATGTGGTTGCAGAAGAGTCGAATACAGCTTAGTGACTAAGCAACAACAAATATAGTTTTCATTATATCATGTCTTAATCAGTTCAGGCAACTCTAACACCCATGAACTGGGTGACTAAATAACAAACATTTATTTCTCACAGTTCTGGAGGCTGGTAACATCAAGATCAAGATGCTGACATTCAGTATTTGATGAGGGCTGCTTCCTGGTTTGCAGACGGCTACTTTCTTGCTTATATGGTGAAGCAAGATCACCTCTCTTGTGTCTCTTCTTTTTTTTTTTTTTTTCCCATTTATTTTTATTAGTTGGAGGCTAATTACTTTACATCATTGCAGTGGTTTTTGTCATACATTGAAATGAATTAGCCATGGATTTACATGTATTCCCCATCCCGGTCCCCCCTCCCACCTCTCTCTCCACCCGATCCCTCTGGGTCTTCCCAGTGCACCAGGCCCGAGCACTTGTCTCATGCACCCAACCTGGGTTAATCCTTCTTACTAATCCTAATTTCCTCCCAGAGGTTCCACCTCCAAATACTGTCACGTTGGAGATTTAGGGCTTCAGCATATGAAGTTTAGGGGGACACAAACATTCAGTCCATAGCATAGGGATATGCCACATTTTGTTTACCCATTCATCTGTTTATGGACATTTGGTTTGTCACTACCTTCCAGCTATTGTGAATAGTTCTGCTATGACTATTGTGTACAAGTATGAATTTGTTTGAATACGTGTTTTCAGTTTGGGAGGTATTACTGAATTATATGGTAATTCTGTATTTAATTTCTTGAGAAACTGCCAAACTATTTTGCATAATGACTTGCACATTTTACATTCCTTCTAGCAATGTTACAAGGGTTCCCGTTTATCTACATACTCACAAATACTTGCAACTTTAAAGCACTTTACTAATTAATAACAATTAATGGATGATCAGAATAAGAGGTTACAGAAAGAGAACTAACTTTCCAGTTGGTTGTATAGCTAGAGAGAATAGAGGGATGATGGGTGTCATTAGTGAGTGTCCTGCTGTAGGTAGAATAAAACCCTTCTCTATCCTCAGCAAACTTTCAGTGAAGTCTGTACTACTTTCCCCAGATGAACTAAAGGTAGCCCTTGATCTACGTATACTAGGTGCTCAGTCTATGTTTGAGTGTTTGATACATGCCACTTTAAGTATACACAGTATTTATTAATTCATTCAACCAGAACTTATTGGGCATTTCTAATTTTCCTTTTACTTGTTGGAACTGTAGTTTTAATTAGTAAAGCAAACCTACCATATGAACAAAACTACAAAGATCAAGCACTTGAGTAAAATATAGTAAGTTGGTAGTGGTTTGGTCACTAAGTCATGTCCAACTCTTGCGAGTTCGTGGACTGTAGCCTGCCAGGCTCCTCTGTCCGTGGAATTCTCCAGGCAAGAATACTGGAATGGGTTGTCGTTTCCTTCTCCAGGGGATCTTCCT